GGGAGGGAAGGGGGGCAGTCAGGGGTAGAAGGGAATGGTAGCAGTGGGTTGGATGGGGAGGGGGCGCAATGTTGTTTATCTGCATTTTGTGCAGGGAGTCAGTTCACCTTGAAGTGCTTTAGTCTCTATTGAGTCTCAAGTTTTATAAAGAAACCACGAGGAGAGGCTAAAGCCAGAGCATGGCACCAGGCCGGGGAGGCGGGGTGTGCGCCGCTGCTCCGCCCGTGGCTGGGGTGCACCTGCACTGCTTGGCCCGGCGGGCGGGGGGGAGGATGCTGCCACTGGGCTCATGGAAGAGGGGAGCACACCCCCCACTTGGCACATCGGTGGGACTCTCAGAAGTGCTCAGTACCCACAACTGGGACCAGATCTCCGAAAGAGCTCAGCACAGCGGATCCCTGTGGCGCTGGGCGCGCTGAACCCAGGAGGAATCTGGTCCTGAGCATTTTAGAAAATCCGGTCTTAATGCTGATTTTTCTCTTGTAGAAAAAGTCTCTATCTGTCAATATCATTGAGGTGTGAGCACAGATCAGCTCTGGATCCGAGGGCCCTGGGAATGCTGCCAGAGCCGAGGAAGATCATGGGATAAAAGGACAACACCAGGCTGCCAGCCTGCAACCCTCAGCATGCAAAGACTTGTTTATCAGAAATTATGCTTCTTCCAAGGCCTTCTCCCCATGAGGGGATCTGCATGGAGACCGTTTGGATGATGCATGCAGAACTCAGCCTCACACCCATCATGTAATCGCCCATGGGCCGCTCGGGAGTCAATGGGGAGCCTGGAACAGCACCGAAAGAACAAACAGCAATATCTGGATTTCAAGGGATGCGGGAGCCTCCTGCTGATGCAGGGATAATGTCGTGGAAGTGGGCTCTCATGGCCCTGTCTCTCAGCAGCTGTTACGTAAACGGCAGTGTGTCCTCATGTTCACGCCTGTTACAGCCTTAGGTATGGCCAGACCTAAGCCAGGCTGCAGACATAGCTCCAATCACCAGAGAGCCCTAGAAGGGGCCTAGCTCTCATTCAGCGCGCCTGGAGCCTCAGAGGGATTTTCTGTTTGTTTACGGTCCCAGAGAAGTGCCCACTTTCCAGCCCCCTAACCCTGCAAGCCTAGACTGTGGGGCCCACGGAGGTGGAGCAGGTGCTAGCTCAGGAACGGCTGCCAAGAGAACTGATCGGAGCTGGGGAGGTTTTCGCAGCACTCCCCAAAGTCTGGAGTCTGAATTGCAGGATGGCCCCATGCCCCCTGCAGACATGCCAGAGATGGTATCCCAGCCCAAGGAGGCAGGAGGTTGGCTGGGTCACTGAGCTGACTTCAGCTACTGGCAGCTCAGATGAGCTTCCATCCCTTCCCTTAGTATGAATGTGACCACCCCGGGGAGGTGAGAACCTCAGACCAGGAAGGGCCAATGCTGCCTTGTGCTGTGCCCAGCAAACAGCAAAGCAGGGCCTTGCTGCAGAGACAGCGGGATGCAGGGGAGAGTTCTCCCTATCACATCTCACGCCTGCCCAGTTTGTAGGGCAGCAGGGACGTACCCAGTGCACATAAAAACATATCCCCTGCTAACTGCATTGCCTGGGAGGTCTCCAGGTCACGGTTCAGCTCTGGGTGTGGGAGGGAAATCTAGCACATGTAGCTCTGACTCCTCTCCTCCTCTGCCTCTGGCTCCCTCGGAGGCTTCCAGCATGCAGAAGCTCTGTTCCAGCAGCCCTGGTGCAGGCTACATAGAGCCAGAGTCTGGGTCACTGGGAAACACCCACAGGCCCCAGAGAAATGTGTGTGGCGGGGGAGAGAATACCGTGCTGAATCCCCATGCCCCTGGGGGGCAAAGGCCTCAATGCAAACTGCCTGTGGCCCATCTGCCTCCGCCATCAGGCAAAGGCCTCACCACAGGGCCCTGCCCCAGCCCCCTCACTCTGCCAAGGCCTCACTCTTGGTGCCTGCCCCAGCGCTATCCTATTGCTCCTGGCATTGAAGGCTTCACTGCAGGCCCTGCCCCGCTTGCAGCGTGGTTTTAGGTTGGGTCCCTCTGGAGTGTGCGAGGGGGTAGTTCCTTTACACACCAGTGCATGGCCTAGAAGGGGTTGGTCTCCATCCTTGGGGAGATGCTGCTGCTGGAGAGAGACTGTCCCAGGGCTTCCCAGACACACAGCGCCTGCTCTATGTAGGAGACAATGGCGTCAGAGTCTGTGCAGGAGAGCCATTCCTCCTCCCTAAGATGCAACTAGGAAATGTGCTACTCCAGCCCACCCCCATCACATCACCAGCCCTGAACGTGGCAGAGTTCTCCCCCACCGCAACCCTTTGCAGCCTCCTGTGCCCTCAATGACTGCCTTGGACACGGCCATGACATACAATTTCCAGGCCACCTGGAATCCCGGAGTTAAATCTCTCTGGCAACAGGGACCGGGTGGGCAGGATTCTATGCCTGAGTTATTCAGTGTCCGTTCAGTCACAACCCCAGCCCGGCGAGCTCACAGACTCTGGTTCAGCGGGTCTTTACAGCCTGAATCCTTGCCTGTGCCTCAGCTGTCACGTAGGGGAAACGCTTCCAGTCCGACAGGGCGATAGTCCCACTCCTGCCGCACTCCCCACGGCTCTCTGGCTGCAGCTGTTACTCCTTCCCCCCAGAGCAGGCAGTGCCCCCGGCCCAGGTTCCCATGGGAGAGGGTGGTGTTTATTCCACTAGGCCCTTCTGCTGGAAAGGAGCTGACCCAAGCAACTTGGAAACACCAATGAAACCCACCAAGTTCTTGTACCCACCAATTAACCCTCAAGTTCAGGGCAGAGGAGTATCCAGGGCGGTTAAAGCTGAACACCTCCTGCTAGCACCCAAACCCCAGGGTCCATGTGGCATCACCGTGGAGTGAATTCTGTCATTTGGAACCAGCATTGCTCCTAGCCAAAAGGCTGAGGCCAAACCAACCCCAGCCTCTCCCCCCCATCTGCCTTCCTCCATCAGAAGAGAACAGAACAGCCTCCACTGGAGGAATGACAGGTTTGTAGCCTGCTCCCCCAGGGGCTGGGATGCTGTCTGTGCAGCCCCAGGGTTAATGAGAATCACAGGATCCAGTGTCTTCCAGGGACTTAATCTTCAAGCAACGCACTTTCAGGACTCTTCCCTCCAGGTGCTGCTCGGCTCCTGCCACGGGCACACCGGGGGCAGGACAAGTGACTCCCTGTGGCAGGGTCTTTCCAGTAAAAGTCTCTGGCTCAAAGGTAGAAGGGTCGCTGTGGTGGCTAGTCCAGTGTGTGCACAGTGCTTGCGAGCCAGCTGCCCAGGCTGAGGGACAGACCCACTAGCACAGGATGGGATGGTGCTGGCGGGCTGGGCAGGGGAACAGAGGAGACACAGAGGTTTTGATGCAGGGCAGTGACAATGGCAAAATGGGGGACAGCAGAGGCGGTACTGGAGCTGAGGGATGGGAGTCCCATGGGCTCTGCTCCTGGATTTTTCTTCAGCTCTGCAACAGCTGGCTCCTGAAAGAAGAACGGCCTCCCCTTCCCAGCAGCTAGAGCGTCTCATGCTCCCACCAGCCACCTTCAGCACAGACCCGCTCCTGGGGGCAGGGCAGTTTTGGAGACAGCACACTTCTCCCCTTGGGGAGCAGGCCCTCCGCCATCTGTCCATGCCCATCAGGGAGATGGCCTCTGCTTCTCTCCAGACAGCATGGGCAGTGACCAGAACTGCTGCCTGGCGGTCTCTGCTGATGGCTGGAGCCCAGCGACAATGCTGTTCCTGGCTGAGTCACCTGGAGAGAGGGGATCTCTCCCTCCCCTCACCCCCCCCCCCCCCCCCCCCGGTCCTGTTGCATGCATGCTCACTCTCACATATATGCACAAGAAGCTGGCGGCCCACCCTCTGCTGTTCTCTTGTCATTTGCCAGATCAAAGTGTGCTGGTGATTCCTAGCAAGCGTAGCACTTGCTATCCCATCCTACCCCACACTTCCCTTGCACAGGACATCAGCCCAGGCTGGGTCCCTACTGGAAGCTGCTGCCAGGAGTCCCTATTGGGGAAAGTGATTCACCCATTGCCCCCCCCTCCCCTAATTGTCCCATTGCTCTACAGGGCCTTGAAGTGGGAGAATTGACCCTCTGTCTTTGCAGCTCCATGGCACTGGTTGGGGCTGCCTGACCATCTGCACTTGGCAGAACAGTAGTTTGACAGAGAAATGGGGCTGGCGGCTGAAGAGGGAACAGCAAAGGCCTTGTTTGCTCCCAGGATGGAGTCTCAGAGAAAATGGCAGCAAGAGACACAAGATGCAGGATCCAGAGCACAGAGAACAGAAACCTGCACAAGCTGTTCTCCTCATGGGCCAGGAGCAGGGCTCCTGCATCTGCGCTGTTGGGAGGGGAATGCTGGAGGACACCAGCTGGCAGAGGGGATGGAAGGGCTTAGAATCTCCTGCTGGGACAAAGGGGCATGCACACCAGATTATACCAAGTGCAAGCAGAGGGAGGGGGCATTAGCTTGTGTTCCTAAAGGGACCTCACTTAATGAGACAAGTGTGGGGGGGTGGAGCCTGAACATCCCACTGCCCCCAGAAGCCCCTGCTGGTAGGGATCACTTGCCCCCTTGCTGTCTGGGACTAGGCCTTTTGACCCAGGCTTGTGGCCCGTGCTTTCACAGTCCTGTCGTGGAGCTGGGGTGGACAGATCACACAGAAGAGGTACTGGGACCTACCACTCCTTAGCATCGCCTCAGAGAGCTGGTGCCTAGTGGTGTGGCTGAGGGCAGGGACCTTCTCCTTACCGTCTCTTTGACTGTCTTCATCCCAGGGTGACGTGTCATCATCTGCTGAAGCTATTACTATCACTCGGGCAGCAGGGGAGGGAGCTTCCTGACACGGGGCAGGGCTGAAGGTTTAAAAACCAAACCAAGTGGGTAGCAAGGGGCACGAAGAGCCACTGGCCTGCTTCCTCAGTAATCCTTCCCCTCCCAAACTCAGAGGGACCCAGGAAATCTATGCTAGAGGCCGCAAGGACAGAGTCAAGCTTACAATGTTAAAAAACTCATTTTATCGCACTCTACAAAGGTGGCATTTTCATTTAAAAACCAGAGATTTCACCACATGACAGTGAGAGTTTGAAGTAAAGGGTGTGGGGGCTGCAGGTGTCAGAGCTATGAGGACCTCCACCCCACAGACGCAAGGGGAGCAAGCAGAGCCCATGGCTTTGTGCCCTCTCTGGGCTACAAGAAATGGGTTCTCTGGGACTACCAGCAAAGGGGTGTGACACCTACACAGAAGGAGAGAATAACCCACTTATGAATCTGTGGGCAGCACCCTCTGGCCTGGCTAGGCTGGAATTCAGACCAGATGCTCAGAGGACTCCCTCCTGCCCTTAAATCTAGGACTTCCCTAAGAAGCAGGAATCTGCTGACCCTTATCCCAAAGGAGAGAGGCAGTAAGGATAAAGGGCTTGCAGGGGGCATCCACACAGTCCTTCAGTTCACACTTCCATGCTTCAGCTACAGGAAAGACTGGAGCTATGGGTCTCTTCTACACAGAGCAAACACAGCAAGCAAGAAAACATGTGAGCCAGAGAAAACTGAACAATGCTCTGGACTCTGTGTGACTGAGAGTGCACGCCCAGCTAACAGCGGTGAGCACCACTGTGCACTGAGTGTGCTTGGAAACTCATGCCCAGCTAACCATGGTGAGCACACTGGAATTCATGCCCAGCTAACAGTGGGGAACACCCATATGCATGGGGCAGTCGTGCTCAGGAACACAACACGGAACACAGCTGCCCTGCATATGCTTGGTGCTGAGTGGTGCTCAGCGCGGTTTGCTGGCTAACGCATTTTCTAGCATGCTGCATTTACCCAACATGAGGATGAGGCCAAAGCCCTGAGACAGCTGTGCCCCAGAACCAGACAGCAGAGGAGGGAAAGGCCTTAATTGAGTTGCCAGCCCAGTCAGTACTGGGAACCAGCAGCACCCTTGGTCATGGGGTCAAGCCCAGCCAGTGCACCAGGGAGCACAGGGAGCTGTTCTGAGGCCCACAGGGCTGGGTGGCCCCATCTCACCAATTCCAATTGACCATTACTGGCACCCTCCATGAATAGGCTGAGGAGTAGGCAGGCCATGGATGCTGCACTCCCTTTCTCCCGCTAGTGGAAGTCCCTGCTGGGCTGGGTGGTGGCACAGAGCAGGCCAGTGGGTGTGGGTTGCCAGCCCTGCCACTGCCTGGGCTGAGCCTAGTTGTGGGGAAGCCCAGAGGTTGTTGGCATGGCAGCTTCACTAGTACAAGCAAAAATGAACATACAAAAGAGTCAAAGAAACCTGCCTGGCTAAGTCCCAGGAGCAAAGCAGGGAGAGCTGCCAGCTAGTCCAAAGGCACAGGGCAGAGAGGAAAGCAATGCCTTAGGCACAGTGTGCGGAAGAGATGCTCCTTGGTCCACGTTCCAGGTGCCAACTGGTTTGAGCCTCAGGCACAGAGAGGGCTCTGACTGGTTAACCCATTATGGTGATATATAAACACTGGAAGACTGACAAAGCCTCATTAGCCTGTGGAAACCTTAGAGGATGGTCCCTTGTGGCAGGTGGGTGCTTGGCCTCCAGTGCCCCCATCCCATTTCATCCTGCTGTGTTGGGGGCATGCCAGGTGGGGCCCAGCTCTGTGGTAGGCGCATGATGGACGAGCTGCCTCCTGGTGTGGGAGACACAAAGTCTGAAACACAAAAGGGCATGAGCCCCAGAGCTGTGAGAGGATGGCTGGGGGGATGGGGCCAAGGGAGGAGACGGGGGGACGGGAGAGCAGGCAGAACTTGCAGGAGCCCTCTGGGTTGGGCCTATGAGTACCCCCGGCCACACTGCACCCCGGAGCATGTCTCTACAGGGAAATCTTGGGTGGGAGCAGAGGAGAAGAAATACGACAGAAAGCCCTTTACCTGCTGTGTCTTGAGTGCCCTCCTCGGTGCAGCTTGGAACAAAGAAGAGAGCACACATTACACCCTTCCGTGAAACAGGACTGCGGTGGCATCTGGCCATCAATGCCATGGGCACAACAAATACACAGGTCCTAAACCCATGGAGAGTCTCAGGCACGTGCAGGGAGCCCCACGCACTCGCCAGGGCAGATAAGATGAAAAGGCAATGTGTTGTTCACTGTAGCTGATCAGCCTGTGCTGTGACCTCCTCAGATCCCACAAGCCGAGCTGGCTCAGTGACAGCACCCAGTCCATAAGAACCACCACACTGGGTCAGACCAAAGGTTCATCCAGCCCAGTATCCAGTCTTCCAACAGTGGCCAATGCCAGATGCTTCAGAAGGAATGAACAGAACAGGCAGTCATAGAGTGATTCATCTCTTGTCATCCAGTCCCAGTTTCTGGCAATCAAAAGCTAGGGACACCCAAAGCATGGTGCTGCATCCCTGACTATCTTGGCTAATAGCCATTGATGGACCTAAACTCCATGAACTCATCTATTTGAACCCCGTTATAGTTTTGGCCTTCACAACATCGCCTGGCAACAAGTTCCACGGGTTGTTTGCGCGTTCTGTGAAGAAATACTTCCTTTTGTTTGTTTTAAATCTGCTGCCTATTAATTTCATTAGGTGGCCCCTGGTTCTTGTGTAATGTGAAGGAGTAAATAACACTTCCTGATTTACTCTCTCCACACCAGTCATGATTTTATAGCCCTCTGTCATATCCCCCATTAGTCGTCTCTTTTCCAAGCTGAAAAGTCCCAGTCTTTTTACTCTCTCCTCCAGAGAGAAGGGGGATTGTATGAAGCACTGCACTGCCTCACAGTTACAATTTATCAAGGTTTGTGATGGACTCGCCATCAATGGTAATTTCTAAATCAAGAAATTATTGTGGGGCAGGTCTCTGGCCTGTGTTATACAGGAGGTCAGATTAGAGGATTAGAATAACTCACAGACAGACATGGTCTGCAGGATCTCCTCGTGCACCGGTCACTGTGGTGGCTGGGCAGGTTATTTCGGTCTCACAGTTCCTCCCCATCTAGTGTCATAAATGTGGTATCATCCCCATTCCTCGGAGAGCTTTAATGAAGACTCTATATGAGCCCGGACCTCACCGCAATCTCTGGGTCCCCAAATGCACAGACTCTGCTGGGTTAATTATCCTTCAGGCGGGGCTCAGGGCACCGACTGAGCCATGTTCCTGGACAAGACAATCTCAGGCAAGAGTTTTGGAGCTATAGTATCAAAGGTTTCCCCAAACTCCAAGGAGTGCCCTCTTCCCCACCTTCAGGGTGCCCCCTATCTGCAGGTCTTCCCCCCCGACTCCATCATGGCTCCCTAACTCTGCACATTCTGTGACTAATTTAAACAATCAAACCAATGTGGCCTGTTGAAATCTGTTCTTTACAAGCTCCCGCCCTGCTCTGGCTGCACCGGCTTTCATTCCTCTTTAGCTTCCTCACTACCCATAGTGCAGAGAATTCTGCTGCCCTGCCCGAAGAGTGCATCTCTTACTCATGAGGACATTCTGCACCAAAAAAATAAAAATTCTATGCCAAAAATATAAAAATTCTGTGCACAATATTTTAAAATTCTGCAAAATTCTGCAGAAGTTATTTGTCAAAAAATGTGGAGGATCCAGTATAGCATTGGGGAGCACAGGTCACTGGCTGCACAGACATTGGAGATCACTGTGCAGCTCCCCCCAGGACACTGACTCAGCAGTGAGGCTGCACCCAACCCTGACACAGTGCAAGGACCCAGCCTGCCCCAGAAACACTCCAGGGCAGTGCCCCTCTGTGCCAGGGTACCAGGTGTGGGCGGGCAGGCTCAGCAAGACAGGGCACAAGTGTGGAGGGGCTTAGTGTGGGGGGGATCCAGGTGGGGGTTGAGAGGGTTCTATGTGGGGCAATCTGGGTGCGGGCAGCTCAGTGCGGGATCTGGGTGCGGGAGGGATCTGGATGCACAGGGGCTTGTTGTGAGGGGTTCTGGGTGCAATGGTAATGGGACTTTGCAGGGGGTCCAGGTGGAGGTGGTTGGGGCTCAGTGGGAGGGGTCTGGGTGTGGGGGGAATAGAGCTTGGCAGGGGGGTAAAGGTGTGAGGGGGCTCAGTGGAGGGTCCAGATGCAGCTGGTTGGGGCTTGGTTGAGTGCGGATCTGGGTGTGGGTGGCTTGTCAGGGTGATCCAGGTGCAGGGGGAGTGGGGCTCATCAGCAGGGGGGATGGGTTCTGAGTGCGGGGCTGTGAAGCTTCATGGGAGGGTCTGGGTATGAGAGGGGTCTGGATGCACAGCAGTTGGGTGGATGGGGGAGCAGCTCCCTGTACAGGGATCCCACCCCCTGCAGTTGAGGAGTGATGGGTGCAGGAAGTGGGGCGAGGGGGCGTGGTTGCAGAGCTTCCTTCAGCTTGGGAAGAAATCGGGGGGTGGGTCTGACCCAGCCCCAGATGCCATGCAAGGGAAGAGGAAGTCCAATCCTCCTCAGCCCAGCCGAGACTAGCAGCTGAACCTGGCACAGGGTAGGCGCCACCAGCTGGGTCTTCCCCAGTCCCGCCTCCTGCCCCACAATGATTTACCTCTCTGCCAGCTGCCCTGGGCCCCCGAAACATACTGCTGGGGAGGGTCACATGACCAGTCTTGTGGCTTCTCTTTGCTTCCCTGTCAGAAAGTAATTTTTCTGCAGGGAAGCAAAGAAATCTGCGGGGGACATAAATTCTGTGCATGCACAGTGGCGCAGAATTCCCCCAGGAGTAGAATCTCTGGGGCGTTAGCATTCAGCACTGCTCCACAGGGACTTCTCCAAAGGAAGACGAAGCCACAGAGACAACCTCTCTTCCCCACAAATGTTTGTTTCAATGCAGTTCCCCTTTGATATCTGACTATGCCAGTAAAGCTAACGGCACCCCTGGAACAGGCTGGAGCAGGACGCACAGCTGACATCTTCATAGGGAGGAGAAATTGGAGCACTCATCTCATCTAAAGACAGGAAATGGCCCCACCTCCTCAGGCTTCAGGATAGCTCTGGGCTTGGGTGGGCCCCGCTATCCTATGGTCACCTACCCAGAAAAGGCTTCATCGAGATCATCGTCTTCCTCCTCCTCCTCATCTTCCTGGCAAATCAAGAAAGAGGAAAGCTTCAATCCCAATAGATGACTCCGTCTGGGGTATTGCTCCCACTCAGCAACATGGCCCCAATGACCTTGCCACACCTCCTACATGCAGGCTTGATACCCCGGACACACCTCCCACGCGCGGCCCTAAGCTACAGGACAATAAACCCCTGAAGCTTTGCACTTGAAAAGGGCACTGTCTTTTCCTGGGAATCAGCATGGTGAGAACATAAGAAAGGCCATACTGGGTCAGACGAAGGGTCCATCCAGCCCAGTATCCTGTCTACTGACAGTGGCCAATGCCATGTGCCCCAGAGGGAGTGAACCTAACAGGTAATGATCTAGTGATATCTCTCCTGCCATCCATCTCCACCCTCTGACAAACAGAGTCTAGGGACACCATTCCTTACCCATCCTGGCTAATAGCCATTAATGGACAACCTCCATGAATTTATCCATTTTTTTTAAACCCTATTATAGTCCTAGTCTTCACAACCTCCTCAGGCAAGGAGCTCCACAGGTTGACTGTGCACTGAGCGAAGAAGAAGCTCCTTTTATTTGTTTTAAACCTGCTACCCATTAATTTCATTTGGTGACCCCTAGTTCTTATATTATGGGAACAAGTAAATAACTTTTCCTTATTCACTTTCTCCACACCACTCATGATTTTATAGACCTCTATCCTATCCCCCCTTAGTCTCCTCTTTTCCAAGCTGAAAAGTCCTAGCCTCTTTAATCTCTCCTCATATGGGACCCGTTCCAAACCCCTAATCATTTTAGTTGCCCTTTTCTGAACCTTTTCTAATGCCAGTCTATCTTTTTTGAGATGAGGGGACCACATCTGTATGCAGTATTCAAGATGTGGGCGTACCATGGATTTATATAAGGGCAATAAGATATTCTCCGTCTTATTCTTTGATGATTCCTAACATCACGTTTGCTTTTTTGACTGTCACTGCACACTGCGTGGATGTCTTCAGAGAACTATCCACGATGACTCCAAGATCTTTCTTCTGATTAGTTGTAGCTAAATTAGCCCCCATCATATTGTATGTATAGTTAGGGTTATTTTTTCCAATGTGCATTACTTTACATTTATCCACATTAAATTTCATTTGCCATTTTGATGCCCAATCACTTAGTTTTGTGAGATCTTTTTGAAGTTCTTCACAGTCTGCTTTGGTCTTAACTATCTTGAGCAGTTTAGTATCATCTGCAAACTTTGCCACCTCACTGTTTACCCCTTTCTCCAGATCATTTATGAATAAGTTGAATAGGATTGGTCGTAGGACTGACCCTTGGGGAACACCACTGGTTACCCCTCTCCATTCTGAAAATTTACCATTTATTCCTACCCTTTGTTCCCTGTCTTTTTGTTGGATCATATTAAAGAAGTTCTGTATTAAAATCATAAATGAGTTTGATTCTCCATAGTTTAAATTTCAGGGTATTACTAATTAAGAGGTCTCTTGGTTTTTGGTACTGTTTCTCTCCCTCTATGTGTGAAATTTGCAAGCTGCTAATTGTGTTAGTACATTCTAAGACAGAGTCTGTTCTCAAAGCAATTCTTTGTAACAACAACTACTCACACAGAGAGAGACTCAAAGCAATACTCTGTAACAACAGAAACAGCACCCAGAGATTTCCCGCCCTTTTGTTGTATTCATCTCGCTTTGTTAACAATTGTGATTAAAATAGAGATACAGGATGTATGTGGATGGATGCTTGGTGTGGATAATAACTGAGTGATCAGGGAGGTGCCAGCCTAAGAATCCAGTGTCCATCGGCTGAAGAAGGCGTCAAGTGGAAATAACCAGAGGACCCCCGGAGGGCAGACTGGAATCCACCCAACAGCCTCAAGAATGGGAGAACCAAAGAACAAGATAACATCTGGCAGCACGGAGCCATCAGGAATGTGCCATCTGCTGATTGATTCAGCAACAGCATGATGAAGCAATTCCCATAGACTGGCATAGGAAGAAATTCTTATAAAAATGGACTCTAGAAAGTGAGAACTTTGGAGTCTGATTCTGCAAACCAACTTTCAGGAGCATCAGATGAACATCTGACAAGGCCCTGCTCCCTCCTCATGTCCAGACCACCTGGCCAGTGGCGTGGCATGAGCAACTCTAAGGCTGGTAACTATGATAACAACCTTGCAGAACCTGTGTGTGTGTGTGTATAAATGAACGTGTGAATAAATATGAAATTGAATGGAATGTTATAGCTGCTTACTATGATTCTTTCTGTATTCACAGTAAATGTGGCATTTTGCCTTTTACACTTTAATAAGATCCCGCTGATTTTTATTTTATTGGTATAACATTTTAACCAGTTCTAAATCCATGAAAGGATCTTCCCTCTTATCCCATGACAACTTAATTTACTTAAGAGCCTTTTGTGAGGGTCCTGGCACTGTGAACCACAGCTTAGCCTGCAAGTGTGCGTGGTGAAATTGTTTGGGCTAGGGCACAAAGGAAAGGCCATGTGCTTGGAGGGGAGAGGACACAGAATTCCTACCCTGCCTCTCTTGGTGCCCAAAGGAGACCACAGAGTACTTGCACTTGGGGTCTGAACTGGGGCATGAGTTAGTAGACTTGCATCAGAGAAGCCCGTTACACACAGAATAAGGCTGTCCAGAGAGCACAACAGGGCCTGGTGCTCATAGGATTATAGAATTGTAGGACTAGAAGGGACCTCAAGAGGTCATCTAGTCCAGTCCCCTGGCCTCATGGAAGGTCTAAGTATTATCTAGACCATCCCTGACAGGTGTTTGTCTAACCCGCTCTTAAACATTTCTAAGGATGGAGATTCCACAACTTCTCTAGGCAATTTATTCCAGTGCTTAATCACCCTGAGAGTTAAGAAGTTTTTCCTAATGTTCAACTTAAAAAACTTTTGCTGCAATTTAAGACCATTACTTCTTGTTCAATCCTCAGAAGTTAAGAAGAACAATTTTTCTCCCTCCTTCTTGTAACAACCTTTTATGTATTTGAAAACTGTTATGTCCCCTCCCAATATTCTCTTCTCCAGACTACACAAACCCAATTTTTTTCAATTTTCCCTCATAGGTCATGTTTTCTAGACCTTTAATCAGTTTTGTTACTCTTCTCTGGACTTTCTCAAATTTGTCTACATCTTTCCTGAAATGTAACACCCAGAACTAGACACAATACTCCAGCTGAGGCCTAATCAGCACAGAATAGAGCAGAAGAATTAATTCTCCTGTCTTGCTTCCAACACTCCTGCTAATACATCCCAGAATGAGGTTTGCTTTTTTTGCAACAGTGTTCCACTCTTCACTCATATTTAGCTTGTGATCCACTATGACCCCCAAATCCCTTTCTGGGCAGTCATTTCCCATTTTGTATGTGTGCAGCAGATTGTTCCTTCCTAAGTGGAGTACTTTGTATTTGTCCTTATTGAGTTTCATCCTATTTACTTTAGACCATTTCTCCAGTTTGTGCAGATCATTTTGAATTTTAATCCTGTCCTCCAAAGCACTTGCAACCCCTCCCAGCTTGGTATCATCCGCAAACTTTATAAGTGTAATCTCTATGCCATTATCTAAATCACTGATGAAAATATTGACCAGAACCGGACCCAAAACTGATCCCTAAGGAACCCCACTCAATATGCCCTTCCAGCTTGACTGCAATCCTGGACCTGCTAGGGCCTCACATGACAGCTTCCACAGCAAGCACCGCTCAAGAAACCCCTGTCCTGCCCCATCCCTGAAAGTCAGTGAAAGGACTCATAGAGCATAGAGCTCACCCTCCTCCTGCACCAGAGCCTGCCACGCTGCTCGGCTCTGTCCAGCACATGAGAGGGCTCAGGAGTCAGCAGCACAAGCCAAGCGGGGGGGGGGGGCTGTCTCAGCCAGGGGGAGACAGCAGGGGAGGAATTGCTTTTCCCTAGCATTCTGACCTTCCCTGATGCCCAGTGACCGGAATCCCAGCCCTGGATATACCTGGGGGGAGCCAGGCCCAGTTGCAATGCTCTCTACTGTGGTGGGGATTGGCAGACCAGACTCTTCGCTACCCCAGGAGGACTTAGTCTGCACCTTACAGGGGCAATGATCTGGATATACTGTACCTCAAAGTGGTGTTTGAATGGGGTGCTCCCCATGGGGACCGGAGCTGGCTCACTTGTGCTGCCTGGCCTGTTGCTCTCCAGGGTACACTCAGGGTGGGACTGTTTCTGCACAGAACCTGAAACAGGGTGAAAGACACAGAGACAGAGCCTGGGAGTCCTGGGGGCAGGTGAGGAAGATACCTTAGAACAGGGGTCGGCAACCTATGGCATGTGTGCCAAAGACGGCAAGCTAGCCGATTTTTAATGGCACGCTGCTGCCTGCCGGGTCCCAGGCGCTGGCCCTGCTCAGCCCGCTGCCAAACCCAGGCCGGCAGCGGGCCTAGCGGGGCCGGCAGCCGGGGGACCCTGGCAGGCAGCAGCATGCCATTAAAAATCCTGCCCACCCTGGCCCGCTCTTCTCTGCCCCGCCCCCCCGCGAGGGCAGGGTGAAGGAGCTTGGTCCTGCTGGCTACTGCGGCAGGGCAGGCAAGGTCCCCCCCTCTTCCCCCAGCATGCGAGGTTCCTGCCCCTCCTCCTCTCCCTCCCTGCCGCCAATCAGCCGATGGCCCTTGCGCAGGACGGGGAGAAGCAGAGCCGCAGTGCGCTCGCTGCTCCAGGGAGGAGGCGGAGAAGATGTGGGGATGGGGCCTTGGGGAAATGGGGATGGAATCAGGGCATATCCCCTCCAGCCCCCTGCCGTGAGCCGCTCTGGGTAGGGAGCTGGGAGCACCCCCACGACCCTGGCCTATACCCCCAGCCCTCTGCCCTGACCCCTGCACCCCCCCACACACCCCAGCCTCCTGCCCTGCAACCCCCCACACCCCATGCCCTGACTCCTGCACCCTCCTCACACACCCCCAACCCCCTTCCCTGACTCCTGCACCCCCCACATATACCCAGCCCCCCATGCCCTGACTCTTGCACCCCCCACATTCCCACCCCCACCCTGAGAACCAAATGGGAGCTCCTGCACCCCACCCCCCGTCACATTCCCACCTGCACCCCTCGCACCAAATGGGAGCTGCCCAGGTAAGCACTCCACACCCAAACCTCTTGCCCCAACCCTGAGCCCCCTCCCTCATTCTAGCTCCTGGCCAGACCCTACACCCCATCCCCCAGCCTGCTCCTTCACCCCCAGCCCTGTGCTCAGTGCACTCCCACCTTCAGCTCAGTTCAGAGAGAGAGAGGAAGAGAATGGGCTAGAACCAGGGAGAAGTTAGGTATCCACTCTATGTGGGCAGGCCGGGATCCCAGAACGGCAGCGGGCTGAGCGGGGCCAGCAGCCGGGATCCTGGCTGGCAGGAGCCGGAGGACGGAATCCCAGAACGGCAGCGGGCTGAGCCACTCAGCCCACTGCTGGTCTGGGGTCCCGGCCACCAGCCCTGCTCAGCCCGCTGCCGGTCTGGGGTTCTGGCTGCTGGCCCCTTGCCAGCTGGGGTCCTGGCCACAGGCCCCACTCAGCCTGCTGCCGGCCTAGGTGAATGGAACCCCAGGCTGGCAGCGGGCTGAGCGGGCCAGTGGCGTAAGATCAGCATTTTAAATGAAGCTTCTTAAACATTTTGAAAACCTTGTTTACTTTACATACAACAATAGTTTAGTTATATAATATATAGACTTATTGTGAGAGACCTTCTCAAAAAACTGGCATGCGAAACCTTAAATTAAAGTGAATAAATGAAGACTTGGCACACCACTTCTGAAAGGTTGCCGACCCCTGCCTTAGAACCTGCTCAGGGGAGAAGGAGGCTGGGAATCCAAGGCCCAGGGACAGGTTTCATGTGGGCTCCCAGGGGTCTCCAGGGTTTCAAGCTGCATCTAAAGTCAGCAGATGGGGGAAGTGTTAAATGATTAAAGCCAAGCTGGGAACTGCCACTGCCAGAGATCCAGGGACTTAGGTGGGGGTCGAAAGGGGCCCAGGCTTGCTGGCTCAGAGAAGGCTGCTCTTCATGCTGTGGTGTATTTCCCCAGCAAGTGCAGGGAGCAGCCCTGGTCAGTCCCAAGGGGAGTCCTGGGCTGGTCCGAGGGAGGTGTCAGGGGACAGTTCTCTCCTACCTGCCTGTGCTGCTTCCCAGTGATCTAGCGCCACCTGGAAGGCCTGAGCCACAGTCCGAGTCACGGCTTGGGCCTATATGCAAGAGAAACAAGGGGATCAATAATGAGGCAGCCTGCCTGCACCCCCTCCTGCACTAGCACCCCCTCCCGCCAGAACCTCCTGCTCACCCAGAACCTCTACAAGTGCCCCATGTGCCCCAGGGCCAGCACCCCTTAACCTGCCAGTGTCCCTTGCCCACAAAGCCCCAGCATCCTTGCCCCCACCTCCCCCATGCCCCTTGGCCACAAACCCATCATCTTTTCCTTCAGCACCCCTACCACCCACAACGTCCAGCATGCCCAGAGCTGAAAGGGAGGAGAAAGAAAGTAAGGTAGAGTCCTCCAGGGAGGGGGTGTGTCAGAGCCTACACAGAGTGCCTGTTCCCCAGGGAGGAGTGATCAGGTCTGCAGGGCACTGGGGAAAGGCACAAGCATAGTGAAGTGTCAGGAACAGAACAGAGTCCTGGGATCACTAGGCTGTGGGGATGGGGATCAGGGTAATATTGCATTCATTGCTTTCATAAATTCACAGGGCACTGGCCAGTCCAGAAGGGACTAGCCAGTTTCCTGGGGTGGGGGGCAGCAATAGACGGTGCTGTAGTCGGTGGGCCTATGCGGGAAAACCAGTCCCACACCCCAACTCCCTCCTCCCAGGAACTTCTTCTCTCTCGCCCGCTCCCTCTCCAGCTGAGAAGCACCAGGGGCTGGAGCGCTCATAACTACATGAGCAACAGGGGCTGGCAGTTGAAGGCCTAGCCAATAGAAGGTGCAGGTCAGCTGGGAACAGCAGACTCTTTAGGTGGGAAGGGGGAAGGCTGAGGGGCTGGGATGAAGTGGGAATTTTCTGTAATATTTTTATGGAGCCTATGTGTGCCTCAGTTTCCCCCTGTACTTTGCTTTGCTACCCAGTGGGTTACAAAGGGTTAACACTGCTCTTTTGGCAGAGTAGGAGACATGAGGGGTGTGTGTGTGTGTGTGTGTCACACCCTACACATACTATAATAGTCTTTGTGCAAAATATGTCTTGTGAGGTATCATTTAAAAACTAGTAACAGATTGATCATCAATATTCTTGTGGAGTGTATGTTCGGAATCTGTATTAAGAGTTATGAACATGAGCTGAAATTATAACTACAATGTGTTTACCAGACAAGTCTGGACAGGGGGTAAACTGTTTTCTCAAAGACACAGGACAAGCTGACGCCTCTAGCCAGCTGTCATCAAAGGTGATTGGCAATCACTGGTCAAGTGGCCATTCTTTGGCAACAAAGGGGGGCAGGAACAGATCAGTCTGCATTTTAGCAAACAACAACTTGGAACCTCTTTCACCTTGAGCCTCCATGTCTCTGTCCTCACAGCTGGAATGAGCTTTATTTAGGGGTAACCCTCGGGAAAATGCATTTCAAAGGGTAACTATAAAAGTGAGGGACACAAACACCCCAGGTTCATTCTCTCTCACCTAAGATGACAAAGGAAGCAGCCCTTTGACTTTGGGAGGAGATCCTGAGTTGAGAATTTGGTCAGCCCTGTTGCTGGAACCATGTGGTAAGGATTTTACCTTGAACCATGTCTAGCTTATAAAGTTTTAGCTACTAGAAAGCATTTTATCTTTATTTTTCTTGTAACCATTTCTGACTTTAATCCTTCATACTTGTACTCACTTAAAACCTCTCTCTTTGCAGTTAAACAACCTTGTTTCAGTTTTAATCTAAATTAATCCACTGCTGTGTTTAAACTGAACTGTTTGGTAACTCTGGTTATAGTAGTGAATTGTTAAATACTGTCCCTTTACAGGGGCAATGGACCTTTAATATCTGAACTGCCAGGAGAGGGCTGGACAGTGCAGAACACACATTTTTGGGAAAATCTGGGACCGGGAGTGTTTTGGGATAACCCTGCAAGTAGTAACCACGGCTGGTGGAAGCCAGCATGTGACTGGAGTGTTGCTGACAGGCTGCTGGGGTCAGAAATGCTGGACCAGGGCTGCACCTATACACAGACACCCAGGGTGTGACCTGCATGCCGGCAGGCTGTTTGTGAGCGGCTCCGATTGGAAGCTACAAGAGTAAAGCATTGCAAGGCACCCAGTGTTGTGGGGCGGATGGTGACAACCCCTCACTGGTCTAAATTGCACCCAGGAAAGTGACAATCACCTCACTGTCCAGGGTGCAATGACTGGGTCATTAAGAAAATAGCTGGAACCTGCTAAAATTCCCCATATCAACAGAGAATTAAAAAAAAGACAATGGGACACCCCACTGCCCAGAACATTCCCACCCAGCAAAGCTCCAGAGGAAGGAGATTTCCCATGCCCAGCTCTCGGCAGGGAAGCCAAGCCAACACCCCAGATCAAGAACAAAGGGAAAGGTGTCAGGGTTAAATGCTACCCTCCACATAGACCCCCGACCTCTCACCTGGGACTGAGAAAGGAGAGAGAGAGAGAGAGTCTGAAATGGAGTCCATAGCAGCTTGGCTGGCTGATTGCACTGGCTTGGCCAACTGAACTATGGCTTAATCTTTGTTTCTCTGTGCTAACTTCAGGACTTCTTGATGCTGTGTCCAGGTGACTAATAAACCCTGCTCTGTTTGGAAAACACTGCCTGGTGTCACTGCAAAGCCTAGCCGGGGTGTATCAGTCCCTGAGATGTGGGCAAATCTCTGAGTAGGAGTCTATCTCAGCTGGACTTGCTGGACAGAGCTCAATGCATGAAGCAGGAGTGCTGGAGCCCAGGGGCTCAGTCTTGGAGGTGGTGAGGATGCAGTGCCAACCCTGAAAGACAAATGGGACTCCTTGGGGATGTGTCACACTAAAGGGGTTCCTCCAAGAGACTCTTTAAAAGTGGGGGAATAGCACAGGTCCTGTGGATCTGTGACAGGTGATGGGAAGAATGCTGTTCTTTCTGGGAGAGGGACATCGGGCAGCAGAATAGGGATGGCACCCTCTGAAACATGGCATGGACAGATGGTTAGATCCTGGAGGTGCTGGGGAAGCAGGGACCTTCCCTCTCCTGGGCAGAGGGGACTTGCTGGACCCATCCTGGACCTCTTCTTGCTAAGAGCAGGTGCTTACGATCTTCTTCTTGGGTGAGAGGAAGGCATGGCACTCCAGTGCCCCACTCTGCTGGCTTTGCGCCACGTAGGCAAACACCTTGTTCTGCAGCTTGTCTGTGGTACAGTAGGAAATCCTGCAAGAAGGGATAGCCATTCAGGAGGACGGTGCTAGCTCCAAGTGACTGGGCAGGTTTGGTAGCAGCCAGAGGCCCAGGGTTCAGCCTGGACCTGAGGGCTTGGGCAGCACTGAGCTGGCTAAGCAGATATGTTGCTGGGGGGTCTTACACAGGGGACGCCCATGGGAGATGAGTCAGGAGGGGTAACAGCATGCAACACCCATGGCAAGCAGGGAGGGGATATGCTGCTCCCTTTTACCAGCCCCATGCTGACCCTGGCAGCCCAGCACAGCAACACTCAACAGGCTCCCTGGGTGCGAGCGGTGGGGTCGACGCAGTCGTTGGGGGCTGTAGTTTGGTGCTGGCCCCACCATGTTTCCTGCCCTGAGTGACCAGATAGCCTGACCTACCAGCATGGGGGATAAAGGCTGCCCGAGATCCTGGAGGATTACAAACTGTTCTCTGCCTGCCTCCTCCGGCTGCACCCTGCTCTACACCATGAATTTAAGCCCAGAACCAAGACCATGAACTTGACCGCATGTTCTATGGGCAGCCAGCGTCAGGAGCGGTGCACAGGTGTGATGTGATTGCAGGAACCCATGTTGCTGGGGAGATGTGCTGCAGAAGGCTGAGCTAGCTGGAGTTCCCTAAGGTCTGAAGGCTCCTGCTCCAGGTGTATTGCATTCTGTAATGCAGATGGCGGGGAATGAAGCATGTATAACTGAGGCACGTCATCATCTACCAGGATGGTGCAGGGTCTTCTAGCCATGGAGATGGTATACGGCGTTACAGCTACTGCTGAGCGAGAGCTCAGCATCAGTGAAGAATCCAGGAGTCTCCTAGACTACAGATTGAACTGAACTGACCAACTGTGGGTATGAACCTGCCACCAGTAGAGACTGCATTGGGGCTGTGAACTCCTTACAGTACTTTCCTCTGACACCAGCATCACCTTTGTCTTGCTCAGGATAATCCGCCATCCATCCACAGCAGATCATCATCAGTGACACTAAAACAGTTCCCATCCTATATCCTGGCCTGAATCCAGCTTGTGCCAAGTCCAGGATATTAGCTAAAGATAGAGGAAGAGCAGCTGGCTCAAGCTGAACCCACGCAAGACTGAAGTGATGGTGGGTGGAATGGGGAACACTTTGAAGAGCTGTCCAAGACGTTGTCTTGACAGCCCCTATTCTAAGCTGCATCTAGGTTCAGGGTCCTGCTGGACTCCTCACTGAGCTGGACAACCAGGTAGCCTCCTTTCACCTCCAGCTTGCTAGGGAACCTCATCCTTCTGCCAGAAGAGGACCTGGCCACAGTGATCCACGCATTGATCACCACCAGGCTGGATAACTGCAATTCACTTTGTCTGAAGCTGAATGTGACGATGATGCACAGGCTCCAGTCGGTGCATGGCTGGCTGCCTTCTCCATGGCCCAGGCCACTTACGTTATGTCTACACAGCCCATGGCAGTGCCCTCTAGCCGGGGCTGACAGATCTGGCCTAGTGGGGCTCATGCCAGTGCTCTAAAAATAGCTGAGTAGGTAGCACTTTGCGGCTCAGACTCTGAAGGCTGAGGAGGAGGGTGAGCTTCAGAGCCCAAGTTCCAGCCTGAGCCGCAACTTCGAAGTGCTGCAATTCTAGCTATTCTTAGAGCACTAGCGCGAGCCCCAGCTAACACAAGTGTGTCGACCCAGGCTGGGTGCTCGCTGCTGCAGGTTGTGTAGACATACCCTATGAGCATATCAGGCCTGTGCTCAAGTCCCAGCACTGTCTTCCATAGGAACAAATGACATAGGACTGCAAGGGACCTCTGGGGTCACCAAGTCCCCTGCTATCAGACAACTCCAGTTCATAAATTTATCAAGCTCTGTCAAAACTAGTTAGATTATTTGCCTTCACTCCTCCTATTGGAAGGCTCCCAGCCAGCTTCCGATGCCAGTTTAAGGCCTTCATCCTAATCTTCAGAGCAATTACTAGATTAAGCCCCAGCTACAAAGACTGAATTTAATCGCTGAACCCCTGTGACAGTGTTGGTGCTGTGGGATGGCACAGATCACACAGCCCAGGACAAAGCATGTGGGATCTGGAGACAAAGCGCAGAGGGGAGGAACCAGCTATGTAACAAACTTCCAGGGGAGACCAGGGGCATCCAGATTCAGCCTAGGAAACACTGCAAAACCTTCCTCTTGGAGGAGGCCTTTCCATCCTAAGAATGACACACACAAACTCCCCTACTTCTGCCCCCTCAACACACAGACTCCCTCCTTCTGCCCCCCACCCTGGACTCCTGACACACCCACCCTCCCACCCAACCCCATGACACACAGAGACTCCCTCTTCCACTTCCACAACACCCCCAACACAGATAACCCTCTTCCGCCCTGGCCAGCCCGACAGACACCCTGCCAACCCACAACCCACGCCATCCCTGCCTTCCAACACACAGACCTTTCTCCACTCTCCATGCCCCCCAACACAGGCTGCTGAAGCCTAGAACCTTCCACACCCTGCCCCTTCCCACGATGTGTGGGACAACATCCCCCCAACCCCTATCCCCACCAAAGCACGTGTGGCTTGGCATCTCTCTCTTATCAATGCACAGCACGTGGGGCCACCCACCTGCATCTGTCCCACTGCAGCCTGCCAGGGTGCACACAGTTCCATAAAGTCCCACACCACAGCCTAGTGTAAAGTCAGCTGAGCTTGGGGCTGGGACAGGGCACTAGAGTCACCGATGGGACAGGGCTGGAGGGCTGTTTGCTGACTAGGAAGGTGAAGGGAAGACATTCCCACTGACAAAGGGCACAGAGGACCACCTCCTGGCTGACAAAATCCTCCCGCCCCTCCTCCTGCCCCCTATTCCTAGTAGCCTAGTACCTTTCACTTTTCTGTTCCACTGCCCCTACACACACCTGTAAATGGAGACACACTCTATCATCTCCTTGGTCTCAGCGTCCTGCAGTGAGATGCCCCTCGGAGAGACAGTCAGAATCACCTTCTGGAATTTCTTGGCTCCCACGCGAGCCTGGAGGCGGGGAGAGGGGAAATGCATGGGGGGCACTTTAGTCACTGACCAAAACCCAGTGCGTGATTCTGGCTCCTGTCACTCTCCATTGGAATCAGCAGTCCAGACCCTCTGCAGCATCCCAGGCACTGGGATTTCAGCTAGCAAACGTCAGTACCACAGGAAGTGGGAAAGGCTGGGCTTGGGGCTCTGGCACTACCCTTGGAGCCAGGACTCCTGGGTTCTGTTCATGCCTCTGCCATACTGCATGACCCTGGGCAGATCCCTTCCCCTCTCTGCACTTCAAGCTCCCCATCTATGTAACAGGGTTTAAGTCACTGATCAAGCTTCCCATCTGGAAAGTGCTTTGAGATTCTCAGAAAAGGAGCTAGAGGCAGGCAGAGAGCGGGGCTCACTCTCTCCCTCCCCTGCACGCAAGTGGAACTGAGAGTCTCCCTCCCCAGAAAGCAAGGCCCCTGCTGGGCCCCCTCCTCTGCGTGGACAGGGGCCAGTTGCCTTCTGATGCTCTGGAGGTTTGACTCAGAGGGCAGGACACATGGGCTGTGAGACCATGAGCATGTTGGAAACAGAAGGTGCAGCGCTGAGAGCAGCATAAGGCCTGGGAAACAATCACTTAGTCCAGTTCCCCCTACTTCTGTGGGGCTGAGTCCCTAAATACTGACTTTCTTCAACCCCTCTCACCAGGCAGGCAGACACACTGAAGTCCAGCACTGGGGGGCATCTCTTACCATAGTAATGATCCGGCGGATGGCATTGGCTGCCATGTCTTCTCCTTTGGGTTTCTCCACCAGCGTCATGCCCAGGTACTTGAGTGTGAAGCCTATCCCCTCCAGCAGGGGCTCCTGCATGTCAGCCCAGTTCTCCGGGAGCTCTGCAGGGGCACAGATAGTGGGGTTAGTGTGAGTGATTACATGCACAAACAGCTGCCATGCTGGTACCTGATGCACTGTTCCTAGCTTGATTCTCTCCAGCAATTTGTTACTATTTGCAGCAGGTGTCCTGCAGCAGAGTTAATGAATCTGTGTGCACTTTTCCTTCTGAAGATCCCCCTCTCAGTGCTGCTACCTGCACCAGGGGGTGCATTTAATTTCTCAGCTTTTTGCTTTTAAATGGGAAAATAATCCATCTCATGATGCTCTAAGCTCCTTGTTCTGGAGGCATTTGCTTTGCCAGCAGAACTTGTAACCTCCTTGACCCAACTGGTGCCTACATAGAGCCTGATCCTGTGAGATGCTGTGCTGAGTGCTCCCAGCTCCCATTGACTTTGCTGGGAGCGGTGGGTGCACTGCATCTTGCAGGAACATAAGAACAGCCATACTGGGTCAGAACAAAGGTCCATCTAGCCCAGTATCCTGTCTTCCCACAGTGGCCAATGCCAGGTACTTCAGAGGGAATGAACAGAACAGATCAAGTGGTCCATCCCTTCGCCCTTTCCCAAGGACTGGCCCTTAACTCAGTGGCCACAGGTGCACCATGCACACAATAGTGTTCTCCACTGCACTTGCTCAATGCATAATTTTTAAACAGTCACAGCTAGGTTAAATCAAAACCAGAGTCCCTGTTGTTGTTATCCAGAAATCACAAAGTCTGCTGGAGCATGGTCTTACTAGCTCAAGAGCTAAGCAGTTGGAGCAGGAGTTGGATGGGATTAAGGCTAGGCAGCACCACGGCTCGAGCAAAGATTTTGTTAGCCCTTCTCAAAGGTGAGAACTCAGGTACGTGGAAGAGAGGTGGTTTTTGGAGAGACTCGGAGGAGAAGAGGGGAAGGGGCATCCAGACCTAGGGTGCTGCATGGGGGAGAGATGGGACATAAGGGCACTAGTCTTTGTTGAAGTCCACATCCTGCTGCCTTTCAAGCTGCAACCATTTTTCCTGAAGACATAGAATGTTTGTTTAGAATGAGGAAGGTTCCCAATGGCCAGCCCCTGATTTTTCCTAGCACGTCCAGCTAGCTTCTTTGAGAAAGAAGTAACCACAGGGCTTTGCATTCTCATGGCAGAAGGCTATGGGGAATGGGTTACATAATTACACATGCTGCAGCTACAGTATGTGGGACATGTGGCTTAGAAATAGGGTATGAATACATTTGAATCTCCATTTGTGCCACTCCAGCTTCAGCTTGGCTCCCACAGGATCTAAGTAATCTTTGATAAATGGAAGTTCTCTATCTCTAAAGATGACAGACCTATTTATTGGTCAAAGTACTATCATATTTGATATATGGAAGGAACTTTTAATGTGAATGTTTCATTGATCTCTATTCTGTCCAGTAGCCAGTAATAGAAACAAATGGGTAGCTTAACAGGGAGAACTGAGGCTCTGAACCTGCTGTTTAAAATCTGTGGAAGATGGTTGCTAACAGCACCAGCTAGGTTAGTTAACAGGGAGGGGAACTATAGAAATGACAAGAAACAGGAGGCCAGGGCCTTACCCTTGTAAGGGTAATGGGAATGGATCACAGGGGATGGACCATTCAATATTGTAGTTGCCCTCTTCTCACACCCTCTGAAGCATCTGGCACTGGCCACAGTCAGAAGATAAGGTACAGAGCTAGATGGATCACTGACCCAGTATGGCTGTTCTTATTGGTGAGTCAGCCTGGGGCTCCTAATAATATTGTGAACATCAGAGTGGCATGGATTTCCTCAGCACAGGGCAGGGTCTTCCCTCTCCTTGCAGATGAGCCTCTTTTCAGAACCATATTTCACCCCTTCCAGGAAGGCCCCAGTCCATGTGTCAGAGGCTCAGTTCAGTGCTGGAAATGGTTTGGACAAAGGCGTTTCCCACAGACAGTGTGAAAGCCCACATTCCAGATGCTTTTAAGCAGGTTATAATCAAGAGCCCAACCCCACTCTGTAATGATGAGGCTTTTTCCTGTAGCCATATTAAGAGAGCAGGAGTCATGAGCCAAGAAGCAGAGAGTCACATCCTCACATTCCATCTACATTACATTAAAACAATGTAATATTGGGCTGTTAAGAAGGCGATCCTGTCCTAATACTGCCCATCACCAGATAAAGAAACAGATCTTAAGATGGTTAAAGAAAACTTTGTTTAATAGCATTCTCTGTGGCAAGAAATCAATTGGTCAACAAGTTGCAGTTGTGAAAATCCTACTTCTTTATTGTTTTGTCTTTATGGTCCCCATTTCTCTATTGTTTATCTATATGGTCTCTGTCTAGTTCTTTGATTGTTTGTCTGCTGCATAACTAACTTTTTAAGATGTAAATCAGCTAGGGTGGTGGGACATGATTGGCTAAAGAATTGTTTTACAATATGTTAGGATTGGCTAGAAAATTGTTTAGTAATATTTTAGTAAAATGATTGATTAAGGTACAGCTAAGCAAGACTCAAGTTTCACTGTATAAAAAGAGGTCCAAAAGGAAGTTCTTTGGAACCAACTCCAGGACATACCCCAAGATCAGAGCTGTCAGACCTCAATACCCTGTCAGTCACACTGTACAGAAGCTGGAGTCCCCAGATGACCTGATCCTAACTGGCCATCAAGAGAAGTTCACCTGCCTTATTGGGAGTGGTGAGCATGGTATGCTTAGTGTGTGCATTCTGTTTTGGTGATAGAGGTTAAGGATATTACTGTGTAAAGCTCTTTCACTGGTAAAAGACCCCATAAACCCGCCATAGATTATGCCTTGAGCCCTAGCAATTGGGTATGGATGGCCTGGACCCCTATGAACTGGGAAAAGGTGGGGGTGCCTAAATCAATCAGGTTATGCCTTGATCCCTAGGAACTAGGTAGAGGTGGGGTGTCCTAGAGTGTGCGGGTAACAAATTTAGGGTAGAGTTGGGTGCCTTATACCTTGAGCACACGGATGGGTAAAGGTGGGTGCCCTAGAGTGTGTGTAACAGAGAATTTTGTGTGGGTAAGAGCTCCTAATCCACTCAATAGGGACAGGCCCCAAAGAGATCCTTGCAGGGCTAGAAGGGTTCATTCCTCTCATTCTGAGCACTGGCAGTTGAGCGCTTGTGGGCCTCTACTCTGCCAGCCCTCTTGTCAAGGTGTCTCTGGAGCCATGAGTGAGGAGATACAAGATGCAGCACCTTAAGGATGCTGATGAGACCCAGCTCTAGAGAGTTCTTGCCTAAACTGATTAAACAATTTAGCCAGGGCCTCGCAGACTGGGACCTGCCTGAGACTCAGCCCAGACAGCACTGAGGCATCACATGCAGGCTGGAGGGAGAGAGGAAGGAAGCAAGTGGCAGAAACGGCTCTTTTGGCCCGCTTGTGCTCCCTGCCATTCATTGCACAGGCTCCCAGCTCCGGAACTTGTTGGCTCCCCAGCTGCTTCTGGAGTCCAGGCAGCAGCCCAGCCAACAGCACTTTTTCTAACTGTGCTTAGCTAGAGGTGATTCATGCCCTCAGAAGGAAAAGTAATCCGTCCAGTTAACTAGACCAATGCAAACTTGAGCCTGGATCACAGCAGCACACTCTACATGGGGTAGCATTTGGAAATTCCAGCTAGTGCCGGATGCAGCACTCATGGCGGGCAGAATATTCCACCAGCACTCAGATCTATGCTGCTCCTAAATCACTGGGTTAGATTTGAGCCCCACTTGGTTTGAAGTTAGCAATAATCTTATTCATAGTCTCTCCTGGTGGATGAACAGGCTCCAAAACAGCTTGCTATTGAGGGTATTATAATCCAAGTGGATTAATTGCATAAGAAAGTTTATAATCTTCATTTTTTTCTGTAATATTTGTAATTGAATTAATTCTACATGTGCGTAGGGAGCACATGGTCAGGAGACTTGTGGAGATCTAAATAAACCAAAATATGCTCCTATTGCTTTAATCACTCTTGTCTGACAATCAGATTTTCTGCTATCATCTTTCAGAGTAACAGCAGTGTTAGTCTGTATTCGCAAAAAGAAAAGGAGTACTTGTGGCACCTTAGAGACTAACCAATTTATTTGAGCATGAGCTTTCGTGAGCTACAGCTCACTTCATAGGATGCATACCGTGGAAACTGCAGAAGACATTATATACACACAGAGACCATGAAACAATACCTCCTCCCACCCCACTGTCCTGCTGGTAATAGCTTATCTAAAGTGATCATCAAGTTGGGCCATTTCCAGCACAAATCCAGGTTTTCTCACCCTCCGCTGCCCCCCCCCCCCCACCACAAACTCACTCTCCTGCTGGTAATAGCCCATCCAAAGTGACCACTCTCTTCACAATGTGTATGATAATCAAGGTGGGCCATTTCCTGCACAAATCCAGGTTCTCTCACTCCCTCACCCCCCTCCAAAAACCATACACACAAACTCACTCTCCTGCTGGTAATAGCTTATCCAAAGTGACCACTCTCCCTACAATGTGCATGATAATCAAGGTGGGCCATTTCCAGCACAAATCCCGCCCCCACAAACTCACTCTCCTGCCTGGATTTGTGCTGGAAATGGCCCAACTTGATGATCACTTTAGATAAGCTATTACCAGGAGGAGAGTGAGTTTGTGTGTGTTTGGGGGTGGGGGGGTGAGAAAACCTGGATTTGTGCTGGAAATGGCCCACCTTGATTATCATGCACATTGTGAAGAGAGTGGTCACTTTGGATGGGCTATTACCAGCAGGAGAGTGAGTTTGTGTGTGTGGTTTTTGGAGGGGGGTGAGGGAGTGAGAGAACCTGGATTTGTGCAGGAAATGGCCCACCTTGATTATCATACACATTGTGAAGAGAAGTACTTGTAGCACCTTAGAGACTAACCAATTTATTTGAGCATGAGCTTTCGTGAGCTACAGCTCACTTCATCAGATGTATACCGTGGAAACTGCAGCAGACTTTATATACACACAGAGATATACATCTGATGAAGTGAGCTGTAGCTCACGAAAGCTCATGCTCAAATAA